AAGGATTTTAATTACGTAAATTCCTACCAAACCTATCAGCATTCACAGCAACTTGCATAACAACACTATAATCATTATTTTTAATTATTAAATAAATCCCGAAATCAACTAGATTTAGGTATAAAATGTTGCTATAAAGCTGTATTTGTTTTATCATTAAATTCTGAATATTTTACAAAATAATTTTGAAGTTATTGACAAATTTTTTCATAACAATAGTATAATATGGCTTGTCTCTTATTAGTATATGAAAATTGTAAAATGTATAATAAATTAAATTAAAATGATTTCTAATAAAAAAAAAATTCTCTATCGTTAAATTAAAAATATCGTGATCAACATGTGATTCCAAAATGCGCGGATATGTATGCTGTACGGACATAAGATCATGGTCACGAGTTTGTTATTACTTCTTTTCAAGATCCCTTAATTCATCTTTTCAGTAATAATTGCATATTTTTGACGAAGTAAGCATTAATTTCAATCAATCTATCCTTAATATATTATTATATTTGTCTTTTATTTGTAGAGTTTCTTCCATATTTATTTGAGTACCTTCTAAAAGAATATCTAAGACACGATCTGGGCTGATGTCTGAGCTTCTTTAAAACTTGTATATAATTCGGCGTGAATTTCAAGTCTAATGCTTTGTGCGATGAATTTTTTGTAGACAAGAATGAAATTCTAATACTTGATCGTTAATTTCGTGGAAATCAAATGATTATCAGATAAATTATTGTCTGTTTATGCAATAAATTGATTGCCCAATTGCCCAAAAACTCTAATCCTTTCTTATTATATGTAATACAATTTATTGAAATCGTACATCAATGAACCTTTTAAAAGGTTCGAGTGGGAATTTTCTATTTCTCGTTTTTGTCCATAAACAAACTTTGTAAACTTTATTAACCTTATATTATTAGAAAGAAATAAAACGTAAAAAAAAAAAAAAAAAATTCTTTACGGATAAACGAAAATGACGAATACTCAGACGAACACTCGGTTGACGAGAAATCCGAGCTTCGATGCGAATATAATGGTTCATACTTTTCTGAAATTCGACAGTTTAAAGTTGAAGGTAATCAATTTATTCAAGAAAAACTTAATATCATTTCGGAGGAGAAAAAAAATTTAAGATTTTGCCGAACAATCAATAACTCATAGTCTTGTAATGAGAAATCATGCTAGCGATTTGATTACATTTGCTGAGAGCTGTGAAGATAATAGCGTTAGTGATGTTGAGCTGGTGGACTTATTAAGAATATGTTTGGATCAAGCCAAGTTAAATAAGAAGGAAGCCACTTCATTAAAGGACCAACTTGTAAGAATTAAAACTCGTTTGGGACTTGTCGTCAAAGAAATTGTTGAACAAAACGATAAAATTATGGAAGAACAAGAGAATTTATCTAAAAATATTAGTCAAGCAAATAAAGTAAAAGAAGGTGCAATATCAGTTTCAAAACGTAGTGTAATTGCAGCTGGGTTGGGGGGCTTTGCAATTACGGCAGCTCCGTTCACAGGAGGGGCATCGTTGTTACCGTTGGTTGCGCTTGGTGTGGCTACGATCATTGGAAGATAATATTTCTTTTTTTTAACTAAATTAAAAAAATAAATAGATCACAATATATATTAACAAACATTTCAAATTTTAATATAATAGTGCAGCTACGGCTACAGTTTCTACTACTGTTGCTGGAGTTTCTTCAATTTTGAGCGCCTTTCTAAATTCGCTAATTAAATTTAACAATACTCTACCAGAAATGAAAAATTGTCTTGATAATATTGTCATGACTTTATCTCAATATGAAACTTATTGGGCAAGTCAAATTTCCTATATTGGTGATATCATTAATAAATTGAAACGTAGTAAAGATGGAAGACGAATGGTAAGAACTATCGGCAGGACCATTTCAGATAAAGCGAAAACGATTCATAGAGATTCTAATGATTATAGTGTTGTTATGCAAGTTGCTGTGAATGCTGATAGGTTTGGTAGGAATTTACGTAATTAAAATCCTT